TTCTTCACAGTCACACTAAATGTAAGCGGCAGACGGCAATACAAAGTAATATTAAAGATGTTGCCAGCTTTCACATTCTGGTAGGAGAAATGCTTCCAACTAGGGATAGGTTCACAAGCCTTCATACTTTGAGGACTAACGTCTTCTATCAACCTCATCAAACAGCCAGAAGTGATGCACGGCTCCCTGAGGAAGAGTCAACGCGATAGCACAGTGGGAGGTGGGGTTTGGTGGCTGAATGCTCAGAGATCAGGCTGTCGGCTGTAACTTCAGAAATGGGTTTCATGCTAGAGGTCTCAAACTGGCTGCCAGCTGGCTGAATCCAGCTTGTAGACTTGTTCTGTTTGGCCCACAAATGCTTCTACTTTAGTTTTGAATTTGGATTAGTGGCCAAAACGCACAAATCTGGGGAATCACGAAAAAAATCCCAATTTCCTTGAAATACCTATGCACTCAGGCCCAACGTGCCCAGATGGCATCAGCCATCAGACTTGCTTCCCTGCTGGACTTACATTCATTTGTGATATCAACTCCTATATTAAGCCATCAAACACCTTTTATGAATCAGTGTTAGTGGAGCTGACTTTTCAATAGTCCAATTTAAATGAAGGTTATGTAACAAAATGGGAGCGAGATTTTTGTTCCACTTCAGGTAAAAAGATTGAGCTACTCCATCAATCCACCGAAGCAGTGATCTACTTGAAATCATTTTTAAAAATTAATCAAGCAACATGACAAAATAAAAAAATAGTTTAGAAAACTTTAAAAAAGCCAGTCATCTTGGCAAAATTGTGTATATTTACAACTACTTACAATAGTTGTGTGTGTTCCTTCCAGTCTTTTTTCACGTGCATTTTTTAAAACTTAGTTTTTATTTACTTATTTGGGGTCCTAGTTGCAGCGTGTGGACTCTCTAATTGAGGCGTATGGGCTTAGTTGCTCCATGATATGTGGGATCTTAGCTCGCCAATGAGGGATAGAACCTCAGTGAGAGTCCTCTGCATTGCAAGGCAGATTCTTAACCTGAACCACTGGGGAAATCACCTCATGTGCATTTTTACATAGTTATATGCCTAGGTTTGGAGCTTCCCTGGTAGCTCAGCTGGTAAAGGATCTGTCTGCAATGCAGAAACCCTAGTTTGATTCCTGGGTTGGGAAGATCCCCTGGAGAAGGGATACGCTACCTGCTCCAGTATTCTTGGGCTTCCTTGGTGGCTCAGATGGTAAAGAATCCACCTGCAATGCAGGAGACCTGGATTTGATCCCTGGGTTGGGAAGATTCCTTGGAGGAGGGAGTGGCAACCTACTCCAGTATTCTTGCCTGGAGAATGCAATGGACAGAGGAACCTGGTGGGATACGGTCCCTGGGGTTGCAAAGAGTCAGACACAACTGAGCGACTAAGCACAGTGCAGCACAGCCCTAGGTTTACATCCTCCTCTTTTCATTTAACACTAATTTACACATTTTATCATATTGCCATATAACCACCCCTCACTTTTTCTTATTTTAAATTATGTTGCAAGGAACATCTGTGCGCATTTGAACCTTTCCCTATTTTGAATTGTTTGCTGGGAATATATTTTCAGAAATAGTATGAACTTGCACATGAAAGAGTTAACCTGTAAATTCCTAACCCAGAAGGACTCTCTATAAATCTCTGCATCTCAGCAAATTGTTGGAGAAGCTATAGGAAAAAAAAAAAAAAACAAGGTCACTTCAGCATATGTGATAGGAGTGTGGGTAATTAAAAAAGAAAAATTCAGCATGTGAAGTCCATTCCAGGAATAGCACTATCTAGAGACCCAAGTCAAACAGTACTAAATGTGCTAAGCAGAGGCCTATGTTTAAAGAAGAAACTCATTTGCTCTTAAGAACTGCAGAGTGCTGCATAGTTCAATGATGGAGTCAGAAAACTCCGCAGAGCATCAAAGCCTGGTTCAAAAAGATACGGGAGGCCAAGATACAAGACAAGCTGTCTTTCCCCATTAAAGCATCTTGGTGCCCGAAGTACAATAGTCATTTCTTAGAACAATGGCTGCCTTTAAAATTTTTTATTGTCGGGAGAAAAAAAAAATGACTAAACAAAACCAGAGCATTTAAAGGTAACCTATATCCTATAAACAACTGAAAAGGTGGTGTAAACAAGGTGATATGTCATAAAATGAAATGTGATACAGATAACCTCACAACCATCTCCTGTGCAAGTTCAGATGAATAACAGTGCCTTAAACCTCCAAGCAATGGGGAGCAAAGCATACTGTGCTTTTTTTTTTCATTCTATTTTTTAAAACTTTTGGCTGCACTGCCCAGCATGTGGGATCTTAGTTCTCAGACCAGGGATCAAACCTGCGCCTTCTGCATTAGAAGCGTAGAATCTTAACCACTGGACAACCAGGGAAGTCCCCATACTGTGTGTTTTATTATTATTGTTATTTTTGGTGGCAGTGTCTTTCCTCAAATGGATAAGAAAATTGATTTTATGGAAGGGTGGGGCAAAATGAGAGGCCTTTCTTGAGACTGACTTCTGCACTGAAGACCTGAAGGGCACCAGAAGGGCTTCTGGGAAACAGCCCACAAGTTTTGTTTCCATGCCAGGCCAGTCAGTAGAACCTCTCAGGGCTGGATTATGGAGCACTTGAGAAACTCCACCTCCTGTGGAAAGGCAGCCTGTCTTTGGTAAGGAGACATGGGGCCTCTCTAATCTACTAGAGCTCTTTGAAGGGCCAAAGAAGTGTATGGATAAGGGGGGAAACAGTAGACACACTCTATTTACACTTTCAAGAAGCCTCTGACAGGCTCCACACCAAAGCCTGTTCAGTCACCATGGGGCTGGGGGGAACGTCTGGTGACCAAGGGGACCGACTTACAGATAAGAGGCACAGAGTAAGGATAAGGTTTTCTCTGGGTGGGAAAGTGTTAACAGTGGGGCTCTTGGTAGGGAATTGATGCTCCTGGGGGACCAGGTTAACTTGCCCTTAGTAGTAAGACATGTGACCATCAAGCCCTTTGCTTTCACAAGCCACATGTGGAAACTGGTCTCTTTGCTCTAGAGTCCCAGCTCATATATTGTCCTGCTGAATTTGTCCATCTTTGTGACATCTCTAGTGACATTGTAAGCTCCTAGAAGGTAGGGGATACATTTGATATTTTAATATTCATTACAGTGTCTAGCACTCAAGAAATATTTTGTGGCCTGATCCCTTGAGAGGGGAGTGACTGTGCATTGAAATCCCCTGGCTCGCCTGAGACCCGAGCTCTTATGCGTAGGCAAATATCAGCCTAAGGCTGTAAGCTGTGGGCAGATCAGGAGACTCTGCATGGTCCAAGATATTCACCATGGGCAAGGGTACATTGAATAAAACATTAAGTGAAACATAACTCAAATTGCCCTTTGTTTTTATTAGGAATGGCACAGAGAGTACACATAAACGTATATTTCAGTTTAGAGAAAAGAATATAAAGTGTACTTTTGAGGGTGACAGATTCAAAGCTTTCAGTGACAGCCTAAATAAGGGTTTTGGGTCAACTCTAATTCAGTGCTTCTTAACCTATGTCTCATTACTGCACCCCCAGTTATCTACCCCCTGACAATACTCTTGTGGATACTTTTTGCTAAATGCTACCACTCCATGGAATTTTAACAGCACAGTTACATCTCATGTCTGTTTGTGTACTGTGGCCCTTTGGAGGGCCACAAACTATTGTGATATCTAAGATTTTTTTGCTGTTGTTGGCTAAATGTGGTGTTGGAGGAGACTCTTAAGAGTCCCTTGGACTGCAAGGAAATCCAACCAGTTCATCCTAAAGGAAATCAGTCCTGAATATTCACTGGAAGGACTGATGCTGAAGCTGATACTCCAATACTTTGGCCACCTGATGTGAAGAACTGACTCATTTGAAAAGACCTTGATGCTGGGAAAGATTGAAGGCAGGAGGAGAAGGGAACGAGAGAGGATGAGTTGGTTGGATGGTATCACTGACTCAATGGACATGAGTTTGACAGGAGTTGGTGATGGACAGGGAGGCCTGGCATGCTGCAGTCCATGGGGTTGCAAAGAGTCGGACACGACTGAGCGACTGAACTGAATTGAACTGAAGTGCAACGTATTTTTTTTTCACCTTTTTTTTTTTAAATTGGGGTGTAATTTCTTTACAATGTTGTGTTAGTTTCTGTTGTACAGCAAAATGAATATCAGTTATGCCTATACATATATCCACTCTTTTTCAGATTTCCTTCCCAGTTAGGTCACCACAGTTAGTAGAGTCCCCTGTACTATACAGGTTCTCATTAGTTATCTATTTTTTATACAGTAGTGCATATATGTCAATCCCAATCTCCCAGTTCATCCCACTCCCCTTCCCCCTCTTGGCATCCCAAGTTTATTTTCTACATCTGTGACTCTATTTCAGCTTTGCAAATAAGTTCATCTGTACCACTTTTCTAGAGTCTACATATAAGCAATAGTATATGATATCTGTCTTTCTCTTTCTGACTTACTTAATTCTGTATGACAGTCTCTAGGTCCTTTCAGGTCTCTTTAAGTTTCATTATTTTGTTCCTTTTTATGGCTGAGGAGTATTCCATTGGATATATTAATATGTACAATATGTAGGATTTTTTTCATCTCCCAAGAACCAAGTTTTGTCTTTTTGGGGACGATGGTGCCCCTGATGAGAATGTATGCTGAAGAGGACTCTTGGAAGGTTTGAACCTGTTATTCAAAGAGAACAATAAAGAGCTGGATATCTGAGAATGGATTTGGGAGCGAAAAAGAAAAGTCTTCTCTTGCCCTCCCCCTCAAGCCAAACAGAAGCTCAAACAGAAAGTCGGACACTGCGCTGGGTGTATTACTCTGGCCCTCCCAATCAGCTCTCTCCCCTTCCCCCTGCTGCATGACGGTTACAGACCTCACATCAGGCTCCCTCTGGCTTCAAGGTGGGTTTGGTGATGGAGAGCTGGGAAGGAGATGGAGGAACTGGGGGGGGGAGAGGATGAAGAATGAGGGGAGACTGGGGCCCTTTTTGTGAGGTCATCATGTCTGGTGGTGTTCTGTGGTCACCTGAGTCCTCCTGGGTTCTCCCGAGCTCTGATAGCAGATACTACTCCTTCCCTTGGGTAGAGTCTGTCACAGCTCTACCGCTACTAGTTCCAGGTTATTGCACCATCCCCATGGGGTTCCTTTGTACCCACACATTTGTAGAAATACCCAACGTTCCTGGTGCTCTGTTTCCTGTTGATTGACATGGGTGGGAGAGAGGAGGTCTTGTCACTGCAACTCAGGAGAGACTCCTGGAGCTGGGAGGAGGCCAGTGGAGGGCAGGTGAGAGGCTGTGGGGGGCTGGGTAGGATGGGGCAGGAGGACGAGGGGTCACTGTCCCGAAAAACAAAGCTGAAAGGGGCCTTGATCTGGTTTCTGGAATGAGGTGGAAAATGAACTTCTCCCTACATGGTCATCGAAGATCCACTAGGGTTTGAGAGGTGATTTGGAGAAGTATCCTGGTTCGTCTCCTTCACATAGTTGGGACTGATGGAGCTCTTTCTCCACTCAAGGGGGTAGCTCTGGCTTAAATTCACAGAGAGGTGAATAAGCGAAATTAAAATACTGCATGACAGGCCTCAAAGGAGTACTTTAAAAATGCCCAGGCCTGGGACTTCCCTGGTGGTCCAGTGGTTAAGAATCTGTGTTCCAATGCAGGGGACATGGGTTCCATCGCTGGTTGGGGAACTAGGATCCCACATGCCCTTAGATGGGCAACTAAGCCCATGCGCTACAAAGGGATGAGGCCAGAGGGGAGGGCCAGGTCTCCTTAAATTACTCTTTGGGTTTCTCATCAAAGGTAGAGTGTAGGTCTGGAAATTCCCAAGGGAAAAGGCAGATCATTGATCTCTTGGGTTCAAGGTGGCTCTGCGCTCCTGGGTGAGACAGTGGTAGAGGGGAAGGACCATACAGTTTCAGAAGTGACCACCTAGGCTTGAATTCCAGCTCCTCATCTCTCTGGGACATCACTGGTCTCACAGGTGCCATGAGGATTAGACCAGAAAGTACATGTAAAGGCAGTGGGGCCCCTCTTTCAGGCCAACTGAGTAGTCCCACGTTCAAAGCCCACCAAGCTTCTTCCCAGCTCTTCGTTGGCACCAAGGGGCAACCAAGCCTCCCAAACTCTGGTTTCCAGAAGCCACAGAGTAAAAGAAGCTGTTGTTATGGACAAGGGTGGGTGGGCACATTATCTTGTGCCTGCTAATCCCATTTTCTGCTTTCATGTTAATCCTCTTCCCGCTTCTGTCTGCCACACACTCAGCATCCAGGGCAATGACCCGGGGAGCCTGGCTCCACCTCCTCCAGAGTTCCCTGGTGGAGGTGGAGGGTTGGGGGACAGTCCAGGTGTGCCTGGGTCCACGCCAGCTGACCTGGATCCTCTTATACGCCAGGTCATGGAAGAACATGGAGGGTTCAACACATTCATATCATTAACAATGACAATATCAGTCAGTGTTTCTTAAGCACTGTGTGCTGACACTAGTTGAGTTTTCTGTACGTAATTTCATTCAATGCCCGTAACACTGCTATGAAGTGGGTATCATAATTCTGAAATTTGCAGATAAGGAGATGGAGGCTTGGAGAGTCATCACAGCCCAGACCACACAGTGAGCAGAGAGAAAGACTGGCCAGAGTTCCTCCAGAGCCTCCTGGGGGCCTTGCGGCATCATAGGCCCTCTGATGTTTTTCCTACTCTGCCAGCCCTGGGAAAGACCCACCTCCTTCCTCTGGGACCAACACCTGAGGCTTCGTTGGACGAATGCATTTCTTCCATGCGCTGGGTCTTGGTGTCACTGGCTGTGCAGAGGAGAGGAGAGAACATAGACTTCGGGGTGGAAAGCTATGGATCTGGCTTCTGCAGGAAGGGGACAAGATGTTCCCAGGAACTGAACTTCTTCCAGGCTCACAGGTGGCTACATGGAAAAGGCTGTGGGGGGAGGGACGATGTGGCTGTCACTCACTACCCTCTTCAACCCTGGCTACAAACGCTGCTTTCTATTCTGCAGGACTGAGTCTGGCCATTTTTGCCCCCCAGATATGGGTTTGGAGTTAAGGCTCACTCACTGAGGAAAAAGCTGTTTGCTAAGCCTTTAGCCCCTTGCGGTTGGTTTTTTTGGAAAGGTTTTACGGCCTTTTGGCCTTCTTTTTGGTTTTGGCTTCCTTCAGAGTATGGGCTCCCTGATTCTAACTTCATTCTTCTCCCAGGACAGGCTTGGAAGGTTGGCCTAGGTTTGAATGCCTCCTAAATCCCTTTGCAGCTGTGACCTGGGCTTCAGTTTTCAGGTCTGTAAAACTGGAATGATAATCGTGGCTTGCCGAGGCCAAAGCCTGTCCCTCCCCGCAGGCCAGTAGACTCCTCATCTGGAAACTTCTAGAAGCCCAGAAGGCAGTGGTGGGTTAATCTTCAGCCTTCTTTCCTCAGTTCCTGAGCCCTGTGGGCCTCTCTGCTGACTGTCACCAGGGTCTTTGCTTCCCTGTGGATGGCACAGGCCCTGCAGACCTTGCTGCCCGAGCCTGGTGGTACCTCCTTGGGCCCAGCATGGCGGTGTGGTTCTCCCACTGTCAGAGCTCCACAGATTGGTGGGCAGTTGGAGAAGAACAGAGGGCAGTGTAAACTCTAACACTGGCTGGCACAGGGCAGGCTACACGTGTGGCAGCGCATGAATTCAGCTGAGGAAAGGGGTATGGAGGCTGGTGGAAGTCAAACTCCTCCTTGGAGGGGTGGGGTCTGAGGGTGATGAGTATGGGCAGGACCCGGCTAGGTTGAATCATGAAGTGAGGTTCTGCAGAGCCTCTGATGCTCCCTACTCTCCACAGTCACTGAGCCTCAGTAACCAGAGGCAGGATGTAGCGTGTGTTGGCTGGGAATGGTGGTGCTGAGGTACAACTTTGAGGATCTGAGCGGCTCCATAATGAGGACTCCAGGACTAACATCAGCTCCTCAATTACTTAAAACTAAGGGGACAACCTGTGCCTAAGAAATTATGCACATCTGGTGAGAAGAAATCAGGTTCTGAGGTAAGGTTTGGTTATTCTTTTTAAAGCCCTCAAAGGCGTGTGCACTTTGAGAATATTCTAGAAGTAGAATGGTGTATAGGAGAGAAGACATGGGATCTTAAGTTAGAAGACTTGCATCCAGAGACTTCATTGGTGGTCCAGTGGTTTACACTCCATGCTTCCACAGCAAGAGACACAGGTTCAGTTCCTGGTCAGGGAACTAAGATCCCAGGCCGCATGGTGCAGCCAAAAGATAAAGAAAAATTAAGTCAAACAAAACAGAATCACACAGCTTTAAACAATAATTACTATTAAAAAAAAAAAGATGACTTGTATCCATGCCGGGGCTCTCTCTGGCCTTGGTGTGATCTTGAACCTTTTCACTCTGGGCCTCCACGGACTCGGGCCTTGCCCTGTTAGACCCTCTCTCTCAAAACCCATGAAGAGGCTGGGCTTTCCATGGACTTTGCTGTCTCCCCACCTTCCACATATTTATTTCTTGCTCAAAGAAAAGAAAATAAAGGCTCTGAAAAAGAAAAGTGTGCTTTACCATGTGGTGATAATGGCCAGGACCAACCCCTCCACCAAGGCAAAGCCAACCAGACTGGAGACTGCCCAGGGTCCCCTGGCATGGCTGACATTAAAATTCTAACTTTGTTAGGGGAAGGGGTTCCTCATGTCTTTGGTCAGGACAAGGACGTGGAGGACCAAAGAGGGAGATGGAAGCCATGGGTGCAGGGCTTGAAAACACATTTTGCAAACTTCAGTGTCCGCCATGGAGATTTCACTTCTTTGTCACACACTACTCCTCCCCCAACTCCCAGACACACACCAGGGACATAACTGAGCACAAGTAAGTCAGGCCAAGAAACTGTGGCTGGTGAGATCAGTCGTTGCCGTGAAATGTCATTTTATTAATCGATTTTATTTTTTTTACAAAAATAGACATTTTAATGAACAAGAAGTACAAAAGCTTCTGGATATACAAACTCCAGGACGGGGGAGAGGCTGGTTTTGGCTGCTTTGCGGCTTTCACTGAAAGCAAATGAGGCAGAAAGGCCCCGGCCCCACCCCCGCCCCAGGTCCTGGCTCAAACTGCTACCTGCTCCTCAACCCACGACTTGGCTCATACCTGTGTGCTCCTCTGTCTGTGCCCCTGGGCTGGCTGCAGGCGCCCCCTGTTGGGTTCCCAGAGGCAGCCGCCCTGGGGCACAGAGTCTCCCACATCTTGGAGCATCCCTTCAAGTCTCCGCTCAGGAGCTTGGCTAAGACAACGCTCCATGACCGATTGTCCCCTCGCGGCCTCTGCTGGGCCATGGCTACATTCTCACACTACAAACACAGTGATGGGGCTGCCCATGCAACTGTCCCCATTGAGGGGCGGAGCCCCCAGTGGGGAGACCAGCCTGAGCCCCGCTGGCAGCCGAGACGGTGAGGGGGGCAGTCGGCTCCCTCCCCCCGATTCCTGGCCCTGGAGCCAGCAGCCCCAGACCTAGACTGGTAAACTCACATTTTTAACATTTGGCATTATTGCACGTTGTCCTGGTGACCTCGGTCTGTCTGGGCTGTCAGCTTGGTCTGCAGGGGTGCCCACGTGACATGCAGTGCTGCTAGGGCAAGTCACGGGCAAGCCCAGCTGGCGGGGATGGTCAGCGGAGCCTGCCGATGGCTCAGCCAGAGACCCTCACATATGTGGTCTTGCTGGGATCAGGGACCACGTGGCTCCATCCTGTCTTGAAAAAGACCAGTTGCCGACCTGGAGGCAGGAGTGAGAGGTAACAAGACTGGATGTTTCTCTCCCTGGAGTCAGGGCCACTCTCCCTAACACAAGGACACTTGTCTCTCATTCCCTCAGCCTTGTCTTCTCATTGTTTCTGGCTTCTGATGGGGACTCACCACTACCCGTCAGTCTCTTCTGGGGAGTCTGGTCACCTCCTGCAGGATGTCCTTTCCCGCTGGCTCACCTGTCCAGGTGGTCTGGTTGGTGACCACAAAGGCCTGGCACTGGGCGTGGTTCTCACAGATGTCCACGGCCTCGGCCAGGTTGAATACTGAGAGGAGGCAGCCTCCGTGGTGGTAGGACGGCCAGCATCGGTAGTCCTCCTGGGAGATAGTACTGTCGGGGAGGCGCTGGTACTCTGTAGGTTGGAGATGGAGCTCAAGTAAGAACTTCGTGTGGCCAGGGGTGAGGGCTGGGACCACTTTCCTTAAAGGGCTAGGAGACCCATTTCTCAGATGTAGTCTAAAACCCAGCCCAGTCTTCCTAGCATGGAGATGCAGGCAGCTACCACTGTGGAACTGGGATGACCACTCAGGAAAGGCAAAGCTCAGGTTACCTTTTGTGAGATACATATCTCCCAAATCTAAGGGCATACAAGTGATTTAGGCTGCGTGTGACAGTGGGCACATGTATGGGACGAACGCACACAGACAGAGCTACTGGTTGTCCAGGCTGGTTGCTGAGCTTAGAACATTTTAGACGTTTAAAGCTGGGCTTCCCAAACTTCAGTGTGCAGGTGAATCTTCAGGAATCTTGTGAAAATGCAGATTCTGACTCTGAAGGTCTGGGGTGGGGATGGGGAACTGGCATTTCCAACCAGCTTCGGGCACTGCTGGTCTGCAGACCACACTTTGAGGAGCAAGAGTTTCCAGCTGCCCTTGGTCCCATTTCCTTCTGGCCTTGGAGAGAGGTTAGGCCAGCTCCTTGGGTAGCGGGGGGTCAGTCGCAAGTTTTTGAAGTTCAGAGGCATGCAGATGAATGTAAAATACAAAGAATTACCATTTAGGAATCCACAACTTGAGTGTTTGGGGCAGAGGCTGGAGAAAGAATATGAAATCTTCCCATTTCACAGAAAGAGCCCCCAGAGGCTCTGAAAACTCCTCAATCCGGAAGCTGCCTTGCTGCAGGCCTCCTGTTCACTCGAGTCTTTCCTGCTGCCTGGGGAGCCCCAGCTCCAGACTGATAATGCAGAAGCCCTGGGTCTTGGCCACCCCGCCTTCCTGCCTCCTTCTTCTACAGGGACTAGACCAAAGTCCAGGGCAGGCTGTGATTTATAGCCCCATAAACGGCGTCCTCAGGGACAGAGCCAGCCATTGTTCACCTCGTTAAACTTTATTTACAGGGCTAACGAGGGCTCCCCCACCCCTAAGACTGGCCAGAGCTCCTTGAATACGGAGGCTGCCCATCCCTCGCCCCCTGCCAACCATGCTAAACCCCAGGGCCTCAGCGGAGGGACCACGCAGCCTGCAAGTCGTGACTGGAATTCTCTCTCTGCTCAGGGGCTTCTTAACTGGTATCAGGTGGAGCCCTCTCCACCTCCAGCCGTCCTCCTAGCCCCAGAAGGGTGAGGAAGGAAAGAGACATAGACTGTGTTCCAGTTGTGTAAGAGGAAACGAGTTAACTGCTTTCACACGTTTCACCTATCATTTACTCCCTGTTTCACCTATCATCTACTCCCCGGAAGAATTCTGTGAGGCAGGTAATGCTGAACCCAATTCACAGATGAGGGAAGTGAGGCTCAAGGTGTAAGTAACTTGCTGAAAGTACACACAATACAGAATGAGCTTTGCAGCCACCCAGAGAAGGGGTGTCAGAGCCCAACCCCCAGTTCAAGGCAGAATTATAGTTATTCCTGGGCATCCCTGGTGGCTCAGATGGTAAGGAATCTGCCTGCAATGCGGAAGACCAAGGTTTGATCCCTGGGTCGGGAAGACCCCCGGAGAAGGAAATGGCAACTCACTCCAGTATTCATGCCTGGAGAATCACACGGACGGAGGAGCCTGGTGAGCTACAGTTCACAGGGTTGCAAAGAGTCGGATACTACTGAGTGACTAACACACACATACAGAGTTGTAGCTCAGAGGGAAGATCTCTGAGTGAAGGCCAAGCAGTCTCTCTGCATCACTCCAAGTGAGTCTCAAAGGGAGGTTGAGCCACTTCCCCGACTAGGGGGATCACTCTCCTCGAACCGCTCCCCACCTTCCCTGCCCCTGAATCCCTACAGGGGCCACTCACCGGCTTGGCTGCCCGCGGTGGAGTTCTGCAGATACTGCCCGCTCCGGTACAGGTGGAGCACCTTCTCCAGCTGGGCCAGGGTCTCGTCCACCCCCCAGCTGAGCTCTCCTGCAGAGCGCAGTGTGGCTCTAAGAGGGCACCTGGGCTCCCTCCCCGCCCCCACCCACCCCAACTCTGGAGCCTGGGCCCTGATGACGGGAGGACTGGGGCGGGGGTTTGCCAAAGAATCTACTTTGGGAAGTGATGTTCCTGGACTGTGTGCCGTCCTGGGCCATCCTTGTTCCCACGCTTGCTGGAGGCGCGGGGGATAAGGTGATGGGAGGCAGTGCTCACCTGTGGCGTTGACGATGCTGTCCAGCAGGGGCCGGAGTGAAGGCGGGGCACTGTGGGGCAGGAGGTATGTGAAGAAAAACCTGGGGCCGAGAGAAATCAGGGGCTCAAAATCAGCGGGGACATAGCCTTCCTCTACCCCAACTTGGGACAGAACCCCAATCTCACTAGGGAGCCCGATCCCTTGGGCTAACCATCTCACCCATATAGCTCCAGAGGGTGCCTAAGGGTTGATTTCAGACTAAGGAGTCAATTCAGCATGTGCCCTGTTGGAGTCTGGGCACATGCTAAGGGCACCAGTAACTTCACACCAAACTGAAGTCTGAGGTGTGTTTTCCCCATCCCTTCTGGGGACCTGTCCACCCCTCAGCCCCACATTATCCCCCAGGTTGACCTGTGTCAGAACCAACTTGCATGGCTTGGCTCTATGAGGAGCTTCCACAAGTGAAGGGCCCGGGGAGGAAGGGGCAGGGCCCTCCCACCAGCCCTAGGCTGAGTCTGACACTATTTTAAGAAGCCTCCAGCTGCCTCCCCCAACCCGGATTCTCCTTGGAGCTGACTATTTTTAGCTTCATGGTCAGGAGCCTGCCTGTTCCCTTCTGGACGTGGGGGAGCCTTTCCCTGCCCCTGGCACCTCATTGGTCATGGCAGTCTCCTGGACCCCGTGTGAGCTCCCCTCCCTGCCTTGCCCCCTGGGGCCCCTCGCTGGTCCTCCTGCGTGGGGGTGGAGGTTACCTGTAGGCGTTGTAGAGGTTGCGTTTCTCATTCATGGCCTCGCACCAGCCCTGCGCAGAGCACGGCAGGGTGAAGTTCCTGGCTGGGAACTCGAGTGTGCAGTCGGCGTTGCCTGTGCACGGCGTCTCCTCCACACGAGCATCGTCCAGATCTGTCACCTTCAGCTCCCCGTCCACCAGCACAAACTGTCGGGGGCGGAAGTCCAGCAGGGTGACCGAGCCCAGCGGGGAGTGGGCCAGGTGGTGGAGGAGGCGGCCCAGGCTCAGGCAGATCTGAGGGGCAGACACCAGACTGCTCACTGCTTTTCTCCAGGGAGGGGAGCCTGGGGGGTCCAGGGTGCCCTCCTCTGAGGCTCTGGACTGAGCTGGGGGCGTTTGCCTTTCTCTTAGAGGCTCGAGTGTTCACTAAGGGCTGAGGCCTGGGACCTTACGGAGCAAACCAGTGATTTTCTACAACCCCATGGCTGGCCTAACCTGAGGGTAACATGGAGAAAGTGGGGAAACAGGCAAGGGAAACCGGGGGACTCCTCCTTGAAGTTGCATCTCAGTGTGGGTTCCGGCCAGTGCATGCAAATAGAGGGCAGGCCAAGATGACCTTAAGATATTTCGAGACCTAGGACACTGGCCCTCCTGCAGCCAGGCTAAGGGGGGTGTGTTTGTGTGGACCAGGAGTACAAAACCAGGATCCTCTCTGCCTTGGTTTTTCTTTAACCCTTTGACTGATGGCTGAGTCAACTTCGTGGCATCCTTCCCTCCTCCCTCCCTCAACTAAGGAGGAGTCCAAGCTGCTCGGGAGAGCTGACCTTCTAAGGGAGCACCATCCCAGCCAGGAGCCCAGGGCCAACTGGCCCTCCTCCCCGCTCACTCGGAAGCGATCCTCCCAGGAGGTCTGCAGCAGCTGGATCATCTCCACAGGGGCGCCCAGCTCCGTGATGGTGGTCAGCGTGTCTGGGATGTCCTCACTGTCCTGGTAGCAGTAGCCATAGAGCTGAAAGAGGCCCAGGCGGGTCATGAGGTCACAGGGTAGGGAAAGGGACGAGGAAGGGCTGGGTTGTCAGATGCCCCCACCCTCCCACCCCTAGGTCTCTGCTTCAGCTCAGGCCAGAGGGGAATAGCAACTCTGCCTGGGAAGCCTGTGCTCTAGCCCACTGTTCTAGCAGCCCCTTACCTCTGGCCACTCAGGTAAATGGGCAGGTCTGAGCACCATGTGATAACCATGTGCCAGGCACTGTGCTAAAGGTTTTACATGCATAACTCAATTCTTAGACTAACCTAAAAGGGCATAGTTGGTACTATTAGTATCTCCAATTTCCATGTGAGGAAACCAACTCAGAGAGGTGAAATTACCTCCATAAGGTCACACAGCTAAGAAATGCAGGAGCTAGTATTTAAATATATGTCACTCTGATTCCACAGCCTTGTTTTTTCCAAGAGTACCATTTGCTAACTGGCAAACCAACAAATGGCTGTTGTACCTCCTTCCCTGCTCTAATCCTTGTCTTTGCTTCATCATTTCCACTTAGAGGCACCTTCATTTTTCCTTTGCTCTGGTTTTTCTGTAGGGAAAGCAATCTCTCTGAGGATTTGTAACAAGTGTTGATCAGTACAAAAAGAATCCAGAGCTCAAACCCTTGGGTGTTCTTTGCATAGTTGGTGGGGGTGAGGGGATGACCCATATCAGCTGGGGTAGTAGTGAGTTCCTGGGGAAGGTCACTGTTTTTTGAGGGCATGGTCACAAGGGCCTTTCCACTCCATAGGATCTGGGGGAGGGGCTTTGTACCAGCTCAGCTGGCCAGGGGCTTCTGGGAAACACAGCCTGACTTTGTCACCGACACCTAAACCAGGATCCATGGAGAGCCCTGCTTGTTCCCGCCTTTCCCACCTCGCTGCACATCAGCTAAGGGATCAGCCGGTGCTCAAAACACCCAGCACCCTGTGGGGCAGGAACACAAAGGCCAAGTTGTCAGGGCCAGAGTAGGAAGAGAGGAGAGCTGAACGATGGGGGTGGGGGTGGGGTGGATACCAGCAGAGCCAAGCCCCTGGGCTAGATGTCCCTGCAGGCTTTCCCCCTTCACGGTTCCACTCCAGGCCCCTACATCTCCCTTCCATCCCAGTAGGGACCTTTTAGCCCCCCATCCCTGGAGCCAGCCGCCTCAGTCCTGCCAGCAAGAGGGAAGACACATCTCAGATCACTAGGGTGGCGACCTGGGGGATCGGGGGAAATCCCGGGTGCCCTCTTCTCCCCTTCTCTTCTTCCCTCCCCACCCCGCATCAGCCCGGGGAGGCCCCAGATCCCAAAGGGGGCAGCGGTAGGGGGAGGTAAAAGGAGCAGCCCTGGGGCCTGGTTCTCATTTTCTTGCCCAGAGTCTGAGCCTTTGTGGGAAACTTCTGAAGGTTATTAAACACCCGGAGGTCGTTAAATGCGCTGTTAACGAGGTATTAATCAACACCCCTCAGGAAAAAATAAAAAGACACCATTAACCCCCCCAGGAAGCGTGAGGCTGAGCATTTCAGTCGCATCTTTTGTTCCTCTGGGAGAAGAAATATACTCTGGCAGGGCCAGAATCAGGGCCCAGGCAGGCCTGGGGCCCCATCTGAAGCCAGAGGCCCCAGAATGACAGAGGTGCAGGGGAGGAGAGACCCTTGTGCCCTTTGACCCTGGGCTATAGAGGCATCTGTCACGTGAGGGAGTGTGTGTGTGCGTGTGTTGTGTGTGTCAGAGCTGGGCTGGGGAGGGGTCACAGAAGATGGATGGAGACATCCCACCCGGGCAGTGCCGGAGACCAGAGCAAGCTCCGGGAAGTGCCCAGTGGGACAAACTGTCCTGGGCCTTTCTGTCTGAACACCCACGGAGCCAACTCTGGGGCTGCCAGAGTGGGGGCGGGAGCCTCCGGGAGCGGGAAGCACTCTCTGGCTCCTCCCTAGTGCAGCAAACAGTCGAACAATTTTGAAATTTTAAATGATTAAGAGGTATTAACACATTATTTCTAGTTCCCTGCACACCCGAATGGAAGCCTCCTGAGCAAGAAGACCCCCAGGTAGAAGACCCTCTTTGGAGGCAGAGGTGGCACTGCTGAAGAAGCCAGAGGGATACTGGCCTGGGGGTCTGGGGATGAGACCCCTACCAAAGCCGTCCCTAAATTCACCCCAAGGTTCCTTTTCCTCCCTGTAAGTAAGGGTAGCTTTTCACCTCTCCCCGGACAGAAAGGACCTGGGACCCTCCCCGTCTTGTAACACTTGTGTCTTAGGGCAACTCACCCCAGTCTCCCATCCTGTAAGAGTCACACAGCCAACCCAGTCTTGGTCTAGAGAGGGACTGAGTGAAGACCAGTTATAATTTTTTTTCTTTGACACCTCCAGCATTGTAGTGGGGGCCTGACATTAAAGTGGAGGACCATTCTGTGATATATGTGGGGGTGGTTAGCTGATGCTCGTGTTGAAGTCTGGGTTGGGTAAGAGAGTGCGGGAGGAGTTAGTTGCTTAAGAGACAGGAGAGCACAGCAAACCTCCAATCTGTCATAAGGGAAGGGTTCTTGAGTTAATTAACTAATACTCAATATCCTGCTAACACACTCAAGACCTTCCCCACTGCCTCGGAATCTGACCGACACCCCAGTTTCCAAAAAGTTCCCAGGAGCCCCTGGGAAGGGAAGAGAACTAGATCCTCCCAGTTAGAATGGCCACGTAACCAGCTGCTCACTCCCTGCAGCTCCAGAGTCAGCTATGCCACCAGGCAAGCCACCCACAGCTGCTGGCTCTGCCTGACTTTCTGCAACCAGTTCAGAGCCCAGGACCCAGTTGATACGTGTCTGATCAGGGCTGGGGTAGCCTGGGAGCCAGCAGTGGTGTCAATAGCTCTCTGACTTCTCTCTACTATTCTGTAATGCCCAGACCTGGGGTCCATCTCACTCCTGAGGAAAGGAGGGAGGGACTCCTGGGTTCTTGCTCAATTCTCCCGGGTGCAGAAAGGTTCATGTGAGTGGGCTGGGAGGTGGAAGATGTGGGCATGGTTCCTCAGCTGGGGAGCCTGCACACACCCTGTGTTCACTGGGCCAGGAGCAGTCAGGGATTCCCCTCTCCGTCTGCTCAGACATGTGCAAAGAGAACAGTTTGTCTAATCCCAGGACTGACTCAAGGACGGAGGAGAGCTGGGGGAGAGGAGGAAGTGGGTGTGTTAGGGCAGTGCTGGGACTGTGAGAGGCCCACTCTCTCAGTCTAGCCTGGAGGGGACAAGGTGGGGTCTCATCTTTCCTCTCTGCTTCGCAGTGAATGGGAGAGACAGAGTACCATTTAGTAGGAACATGGGCATCTGGCCTTCTCAATCCTCCAGTCTCTTGGCCACATTTGCTCAGGTAATGTGACTCTCAGACCCTCAGCCTGTCCCCCGAGCATTGAGCTAGGACCCCCAAAGGCTTCCCCAAAGCCTACTTTGAGGTCCAGGGTCTCCTCAAGGAAGGGCCATACATTTTGGGGCCTACTATCCAATCCCCTCCAGTTCCTCCAGTGGCTTCTGGGTGGGGTACCAGATATTCTTGGGGAATCAAGCCTGGTCTTCTTCTAGCTCTTTCCAACCCCATCTGCTGTCCCACTCCACCTTCAGACAACTCACTGTTTGGAAGTTGAGAGAAGTGGGGTTCAGATTCCATCAAGAAAGTGAACGGATCACTGCAGCTGTGCCCCTAACTCAGGCATGAGCTCTGTTCAGCGTCTCGGTTTGGGGTCATTTCCCTGGTGCTCAACACCCCAGCTCCAGCCAGAAGCAGGGTCCTAAGTCCAAACGGACCCCAATCCCCATTCTGACTTTGGGAACCCTCTGTCCTGGTCTGTCTCCTAGAGTTATGGTGTGGAAGCTGAGGAACCCGGGAGTCTCTCCGGACGGCCACCCAGGAGTGAGAAGCAGGGTGGTGTGTGTGTGTGTGGGGGGGGGAGCTGCCATGGCCCGGGTTCTGTCCCCCAGCTTAACCTGGCACAGTCACTGGGGCTCCGCTTCTTTATGTGTAAAAACAAGGGTTCTCTTCTAACTAGAGTGGCAGGACCTGGGCACGTCCAGCCAGCACCCTCAGCCCCGCACCCGCACCCTCGTACCTGCAGCACGTTGGGGTGCCGCAGTCGCTCCAGCAGCACCATCTCTTTGAGCAGCTTATGGGCCGCCAGTCGATAGCAGCCCCTCCGCGCCCCGAACTCGCGCACGCAGCTGCCCAGATCGTGGCCGCTGAAGTCCACCGCCTTGAGCGCCACCGCCGCGCCGCCAGGCAGGCGGACCCGGTACACGGCCTTGGTGTANCGCCCCCGCCCCCTCCGCCTCCGCCTCCCAGCTCCCGGCCTGAGCCCGTCCTCGGCGCCGCCCCCTCCGGCCGGCCCGGCCTTCCCCGCTGACTGACAGCGGGACCTCCTCCCGCGGCCGTCCCGGCCTGAGAAGCGGCTCGGAGGCGGCTCCGGCCCTGCCCAGCGCGCGGCCCTGGATCGCCCGCCGGGGGAGCAACGGAGGGGGCGGCGGCAGCCCCGGAACGAGCCGGAGGGATCGGACCCAGAGCGAGGGCGGATAACGGGCCCGGGGCGGCCAGATAACGGGTCCGGGAGGCGGTCAACTGAGCCGGCGGGGCAGGGTGGGGGAGCAGACGGAGGGGCGAGGCCGGCGGGTAACGGGTTCCGGAAGGGACGAGCAGCTGGGTCCGGGGTGCGCCCTCCCTGGAACCCGGGGCCGTGGGGCTGGCTGGGCGCGGGGAAGGGGCGTGGGGCCCGCCTCACGCGGGGGGCGCTGCTCATCGCTTAGTCGCGGATTTGGGGGCCAGGGATGGGGAGGCGGGCGCTCAGGGGCTGGCACCTGCGAGCGCCCGTAGGATGGGAACTCTGGGATCCGAAGAAAAATCATGAGATGCCCTCTTCCATCTCCCCTACCAAGTTTTTCTGATTTTCCTTGTCCCCAAAGCCCCACATCGAACCCCTGCCCCGGGGATTCCCGCAGACAGACGTTAGCCGCGGATCACGAACTTTATTCTGGCTAGTAATTTGTACAGAGAGCACTTGTATCCACGGACATGCGTGGTCCCGATTGTCTCTGGAGCGTGTTGCATTTGTGTGTCTGAAGGGGCCACTGTGTCCGAGGAAGGGAGTGTGTAGCATGTGTGTAAGTAGGTGCTGACTCCAGCAGAACTTCTGGTCCCTCCTCCTCCCTCCCTGATTGCATCATTAGCGCTAATTGAGGAGCTTTCACACGCCAGTGCATTAGTTGTTTGGAGTGAGCTCCCCCCTTCTGGGAGAGATAAGCCGCCGCCCCTCCCCCTCGCAGCCCTCCGCTTCCTCAGCGCCCTGAAACTGTCCACCTGGATCCCCCCACCCTTCTTGGGCACCTTCCTGCCCCCCGGCCCTTTCCTGGTTAATCTCTTTCTTCTTCGCAGTGTCAGAGATTAGCTCGAGAGGAGGCAGGAGGAGGTGGAGGGCCTAGAAAATCTTTCCTCCAGGAGGGTGATGAGTTCTGAATGCAATCTGTGTGATAAGAAAGACAGAAATCTCTGGCCGGTTCTTTTGGACCTGCAAGGGCAGAGGACAGCTCTGAATCTTCCATCACCAGCCTGTGATCCCACTGATGTAGGGGTATCCAGCCCTGACTCCTAGGGTCCCTTAAGACTGGGAGAGTTGGGGTCCAGTCTAACTTAGCAAGCAGGAGAAGGGCAGAGTGAGAGAAGCCTCCGTTCTCCTGAGAACCTTGGGTTCGGTAGAGTTTGGTCTGGTCCTGTTTAGCCGCTCTGCCCTGCCCTGGCCCTTGGCTGCTGGTTGTGGGGGAAGGCTCTGAGCAGATGCCCTCCCCAGCCCTCACACCAGATGTCTTTGGTCTAATTAACTGTGCTGGGAAAACCAACCTGGGTTTGTAAACAGAGCTACTGGCTAAAGTCAACAGGGAGCAGCAGCAAACAGCAAACATTCCCCTCACACTCAGCCACGGTCCAAGCCCGCTCCCTCGGGAAGAGGGGAGCCTTGCGGATCCCGAGGCCTCCTGGCCCACGTCTGAGTCAGGGAAAACATCTCTTCCTCTGTGACCCCAATATGGACATTTCCTTACCCCAGTGGCTCAGACAGTGAAGAATCTGCCTACAACACAGGAGACTGGGGTTTGAACCCTGGGTTGGGAAGATCCCCTGGAGAAGGGAATGGCAACGCATTCCAGTATTCTTGGCTGGAGAATCCCCATGGACAGAGGAGCCTGGTGGGCTATACAGTCCACGGGGTCCCAAAGAGTCGGACATGACTGAGCCACTAACTCATTACTAGTCTCAGAGGCTTCTCTGCTGGGGAGGACTAGGGATTCTGGAAGGACAGAGTTACCATCCCGAGGCTCTGCCTCCCTTCCAGAGAACTCTTGGGATCTATTAGCCCAACCTCCTGATCCATGGGGAAGCCATTATAGGGGGAATGTTCCTTAAAGAGCTTTCTTTGGGGCCTCTTCTGCTCTAGGATCCTGGAGAAACCTCCTAGGTAGGGCTTGGCATTGTTGACTCTAACTCAGAGTTGGTGAATATAACATGAACATTGTTAAGTTCGTTACACATCATGTAGGTATTATAATAACATGGTCTGAAATTAGATAATTATTCCTGTGATATCTTTGCCAAGCTTCAGTGTTTCTGTTATGGTTTGAAAGTTCAGTGCACACAGGGCCTGAGAAAAGGCCTGAATATACATACATACAATGCACACGCATGAGCCTGTGGACAGTGACCTCACACACAGGAACAAAGGCATTTCAGCTCTCGTTCTCACACTCACTCTGTCTCCTTCGCTGGCTCTCAGACATACAGACATATACAATCTTTGATGCAAATAGGTTTTTGGCCTCTGAAAAAGAGAGGTTGAACGTTTTGCACAGATTAGAGTTTCTGAATTGGCAGTTTCTTGACTTCTTAACCAAATTGTGCTTGTTTGTTTTCTTTTTTTCTTTGCCACCCAAGGAGTAGAATCACCATATCAAAGAATTGAAAAAGACCTAAAACTCTTGTTCAGGATCCAGATTTACTATCTGCCCTGCCCCGAAGACCTGGCAAGGCCGGTAGCCTGGGCCTCCCTGACCAGAGTCCTCAGGCCCGCAGGCGGCTCAGAGCAGGGAGGGCCCTCCTTCTGTGTGCCTGTTCAAGAACTCACTGCTTCAAACACACCATGTTTTCCAGCTGCTGCCTCTACCAATCACACCCTCACCCCATCCAAACACTAACTTGGATAACAATCCTTAGGGAGGAGGCAGATGGTCCAAACTCCAAAATACTAAATTTCTTTGCAAATATCTTCAAAATACATGTCTTTCTGCATGTTTTGTCAGATTTTCTTAGGCTACCAGGGTAGGAATATCATCCTCTCCTCGGTCCTCTTTATTGTCTGCCTTCTCCCTCCAGCCCAGGTCTCAAATACTTCTTTTGGAATGTCACTCTTCAGCTCAGAAACCTGGAGGAGAAACTGAACTGGACCTTCAGGCCTTTGCGAGCTGGCTCCAGCCCTCCACCTGGCCCAGTTCCCCTCTTTTCATTTCCCCGCACAGAACCGGACTCCCCCGACCCATTGCCTGCACTGGCTCCTGACCTGGAGCCATCATTAGTGTTTCCCCCTTTGGCCCTCCCACTTCCTTTTCCTGAAATGCCCACTTGTAGCCTTTCTCACTGGCTTCCTCGGTGGCGCAGCGGTAAAGAATCTGCCTGCAATGCAAGAGACTTAGGAGACATGGGCTTGATCCCTGGGTCAGGAAGATCTCCTGCAGGAGGGCATGGCAGCCCACTCTGGTATTCTTGCGTGGAGAATCTCATGGATGGAAGAGCCTGGAGGGCTACAGTCCTTAGGGTCATAAAGATTCGGACATGACTGAAGCGACTTTAATACTCAGTACTCAGCCTTTCCACATCATCTTTGCTAGCTGCTAGCTCGTTCATCAAGGTCTCCCAGAAAATAGTGAGTCACAGACACTGCTTCTTCACTTGGGATACCTGGGTCCCTGGGACCTTGAAGGCCTATTCTTAGAGTTCTGTGGATTTATTTTCTTTAAAAGGAAATGTACAAAACACATTTCTCAGGTCTTGGAAACCTTGATGTAGACCAAAGAGCTTGGGGCTACAAGAAACCAAGAAACCTGGGTTCAAATTTCATTAACTGAGTTGCTGGGTGAATTAGTTAATCTATGTATTAATTTTCTCATGAAGAAAATGGGAGACAATACTAGTCCTTACCATGTAAAGTTGTCGAGTGATGAAATGCAGAGACATATTAAGTGCCTGGCACAGGCTAAGCCCTCAATATGAGTAATGTATAGTAGTATTAGTGATAATATTGAACAAATAAACATCTAGGACAACATGTTAGACAACTAACCATAACTCTGCCTAGCGGCAGAAATGACTTTAACTACTTTCCATCCTGCTTTCCACTGGTGAACTCTCTCAGCCTCCTGGGCTCACTCTGTGTCTGGAATTTTCACTTTTTCCCAAATCAGCAACCCAGCGGTCGATCAGAAGAGGCCTCGTTGCCCCCACTACCACCCTGCGGTGAGCTGCAGAGGAAGAAACATGAATCAAGGCCTGATTCTTGGTGCCACAGGGAAAGCCTGGGTCTGTCCTCCCTGGGGCAGGAGCTGGGGGAGGGGATGGCTCAGAAAATGAGGAGGGGGAAGGAAAGGGGTGGAGTCAGGCAGCCTGCGCCCCCACCCCCACTTCCCTCAGGTAGGAAGTGAAGCTGACGTTTCCAAAATATAAAAAACAGATGATGAGGGTCAGGTTTCCTACACACTGGAGAGCGGGAGCCCCAAGGCAGAGTCCCCAAGAAATGATGTGAGACAGAGATGGGGGGCAGAGAGAGAAAGAGACTGGAGGGGAGAGAAGATAGATAAGGATGCAGAAAAACAGAGACAAAGACAAAGCCCCTCCTGAATCCTGAGGGTAGTCAGACAAAGACAGAGACAAGAGACAGAAAGGCATGGTTCAGGAGAGATCTTTCCACCCGTTTCTGGAAAAGAGCTTAGTTCCTCTCTGTGGGTCTCAAGATGGGAACGTGAGCCCTTTTGGCTCCATGACCCTGTCGGAGGATGAGGCCCTCCAGAACTCCAGAAATGAAAAGGCCCTCTGGGTTCAGAGTGCTCCTTGCCCGGGCCGGTCTCTGTCTGGACCTCCAGACCTGTGGTCCCTGAGCCAGCCTCTCCCTTCCGCCCTCCTCCCTCCTGCTTAGCCTCACCTGTCAGCCCAGAGAGATGCTCTACGACAGCTTCTCTTTCTCTCTTTTTCCTGGATGTCTGGACCTTGTGTTCTGTTCCTTCCCTGGTTCCTTTGATTGGAGGATCTGGGGCTCGGTGGAGCCGAGGACAGACAAGAGTGAGAAGTACCTTTTTAGAGCCATTACCTGGGGAAAGGTGGGACAGGGCTGCCTTAGCCTTGGAGCCAGAACAGGATCAAGATTGTGTCTTCCGTAGAGAATGGACTTACTTTGGACACAGTGAGGGGAAGAGAGGGTGGGATGAGTTGAGAGAGGAGCACTGATGTATGCACATGACTCTGTGTAAAATAGACAGCCAGTGGGAAGCCACTATAGGAGCTGCTGTATAGGGCAGCTGCCCGGGGAGCTCGGTCTAGGGCTCTGTGACAACGTGGAGGGGCGGGATGGGGGCTGGAGGGAGGCTCAAGAGGACAGGGATGTATGTAGGCTTATGTTCACATTGTTGTACATAGGAAACCAACACAATGTTGTCAAGTAATCATCCTCCAATTAAAAAAATATTGTGTGACACAGAAAATTATGGG